ATATATATATATATATAGGGACTGGTTCAAATAAAAACTATGTCTGGTGTGAGAACCGTGAGAACCATATTTGATGCTATTTTTAATTGTGTATGATGTTATTTTTAATATTACATGGTGCTATCATTTTCATAAATGCTAATAAAAATTTTGTTGCTATTTTTAATCAAATACATCCTAGTTAAAAATAGCACTAAAACACAATTAATCATAGCACTACATACAATTAAAAATAGCGGTTCTCACGGTTCTCACACTAGGACTTGGTTCTCATTTGAACCACATCCTATATATATATATATATATATATATAAGATTTTAAGAGGATTTTATAGTGTCACAATTGAAAAATATTTATTCAACCACAAAAATGGAGGAAATAAAATGTTTAAGTATTGCAGAGAGATGTAATCGTCAAGGATTTCTAGATGAGAAGAGGGGCAATAAAAAACTAAAATCAAGAAAATATGAAATACTAAAATTTGCAGAGCATATCATTTAATTTGACATTTTTGGCGCTCAAGTATATGTATTGCATAGAGATGTACTGGCAAGGATTTCTAGAAGAGAAAAGGGGCAATAAAAACTAAAGTCAAGAAAAGATAAAATTTGACATTTTTGTAGAGCATCATTTAGTTTGACAATTTTGGCGCCGACGCTCACGCGAGCCTTCATGTTGGTCCTTAATTAAAACTAGTGGAGAGGTGACCTGGAGAATCGTATCACGAGGATATATATAAATACAAATAAAATTTTATATATTATGTATGTGTATATAATATTTAAAAATATAAATGAGATAATGAGCACACTAAATTTTGTAAATTTTATTATTAATAAAAATAAACGATATGAGTATAAATTATTTAACTTATATATTAATCTTCATATTGGTTGTAATAATGTAATATTTGTAATCTTGGTTAATTATTATTAATTAATTAGATAAAATAATATTTAATTTATTTATTATAACATTTATGTACGAACTTTAAGGGGCCTGTTTATGAAGTGAAAACAATTAACTATTTATAATAATAAACTTTCTTGATGAGTTTAAAAATATTTAAAATAAATAGTTTGAAAAGGAAAGTTAGAAAAGAATATTATTTAATGTGATTTTATAATTAGTTAGTACTAGCTACTATGTATTAAAATAAATAAAAATATAATTACTTTATTAATTCAAAATTTATTGGAAATGGAAAGAAAACAAAGAGTTATATTTAAGTTTGATTATATATAATATTGGTCTTGCCATTCGATTGCAAATGACTTACGCTAACACGACCTAGTAACTTAAATCCGATATAAATGTTTAGGTATAGTACCAGTGTTATATTTTGTCAAAAGACAAAATTATATAATAACGATTCTATAAGGAAAAATGATGTACCTAAAATATAGGCCATAATTTTGTACCCTGATAAAGAGAAATTTCTTCAAAAGACAAAGAAAAGAAAAATAAGAAATTTCTTCAAAAGACAAAGAAAAGAAAAATCGTAAAGAATCATTTAAGTTGAAAATTTAGCAGAGGATGACAACTACTACTTCATCAAACTAGCCTATAAAAGTGGTGGGGAAAGAAGACATGAAAGACTCGTTCATACGGAGTTTTAAACTTATCTCGTTTTGTTGTTTTTTGTTTGTATGTAGTGTGAAGGTACAAAATATGGAAAAAGTATGCTATGTGTTCATCTGCTTGATCTTAATGTTGCAACCTCTAAGCAGTAGTTACGCTCAGAACATTACTTATGAGGGTTTGTCTTATCGTCGAGATCATATTTCATTTTGTTTATGCTTGTTCATGTGATTATGGAGCACGATTACAACTTCTGTTTTGATTGATAGCTCAAGTTTTAATGGACATAAAAAACCGGTTAAAGGAAACTGAAGATTGTATTCCGAAATGGGGCCTACTGGCAACCTTTGCAACTGGACAAGCATCCACTGCGACGAATCATATTATGTCGATGGCATGTAAGAATATTAATCTTGTAAATTTTATTATTAGTAAAAATAAACGATATGAGTATAAATTATTTAACTTACATATTAATCTTCATATTGGTTGTAATAATGTAATATTTGTAATCTTGGTTAATTATTATTAATTAATTAGATAAAATAATATTTAATTTATTTATTATAACATTTATGTACGAACTTTAAGGGGCCTGTTTATGAAGTGAAAATAATTAACTATTTATAATAATAAACTTTCTTGATGAGTTTAAAAATATTTAAAATAAATAGTTTGAAAAGGAAAGTTAGAAAAGAATATTATTTAATGTGATTTTATAATTAGTTAGTACTAGCTACTATGTATTAAAATAAATAAAAATATAATTACTTTATTAATTCAAAATTTATTGGAAATGGAAAGAAAACAAAGAGTTATATTTAAGTTTGATTATATATATAGTATTGGTCTTGCCATTCGATTGCGAATGATTTACGCTAACACGACCTAGTAACTTAAATCCGAGGGAAATTTTCAAAACTAGTCCCACAGGTATAGGGGGTGACAATTTTGGTCCCGACGGAATGCAGAAAATATGAATAGTCCCACAACTTTTAAAAAATGATCAAAAGTAGGACTTTTTCGCCGGGTTTATTATTTCCGGCCCGGAACGCCACGTGGCATCTGACGTGTTCATATTTTTCTACAAGTTGTGGGACTAATTTTGAATTTTCTGCATTCCATCGGGACCAAAAATGTCACTCCTCTATACTTGTGGGACTAGTTTTGAATTTTTCCCCACATAGGAAAAAATTCAAAACTAAGCCACGTGTGCGCCACGTGGCGTTCCGGGCTGGAAATAGTAAATCCGGCGAAAAAAATCCTACTTTTGATCATTTTTTAAAAGTTGTGGGACTATTCATATTTTGTGCATTCCGTCGGGACCAAAATTGTCACCCCCCTATATCTGTGGGACTAATTTTGAATTTTTCCCTAAATCCGATATAAATGTTTAATTATAGTACCAGTGTTATATTTTGTCAAAAGACAAAATTATATAATAACTATTCTATAAGGAAGAATGAAGTATCTAAAATTTAGGTCATAATTTTGTACCCTTATAAAGAGAGATTTCTTCAAAAGACAAAGAAAAGAAAAATCGTAAAGAATCATTTAAGTTGACGACAACTACTACTTCATCAAACTAGCCTATAAAAGTGGTGGGGAAAGAAGACATGAAAGACTTGTTCATACGGAGTTTTAAACTTATCTCGTTTTGTTGTTTTTTGTTTGTATGTAGTGTGAAGGTACAAAATATGGAAAAAGTATGCAATGTGTTCATCTGCTTGATCTTAATGTTGCAACCTCTAAGCAGTAGTTACGCTCAGAACATGACTTATGAGGGTTTGTCTTATCGTCGAGATCATATTTCATTTTGTTTATGCTTGTTCATGTGATTATGGAGCACGATTACAACTTTTGTTTTGATTGATAGCTCAAGTTTTAATGGACATAAAAAACCGGTTAAAGGGAACTGAAGATTGTATTCCGAAATGGGGCCTAACTGGCAACCCTTGCAACTGGACAGGCATCCACTGCGACGAATCATATCATGTCGATGGCATGTAAGAATATTATTATTTCTCCCCCATTTTATTTTTCCTAAATGAAGTTGTAATCTCATTTTATTTATCTAAAATTTCTATCACCAGCTATCTTTCGGATAATTGTACGAACTTAGAAGGTGTTCTTGCCGACTTCGAGGGGCTTACCAACTTAACTCACCTGGAGCATCTGTACGTGATATTGGTTACATTTTGTCCCTAATAAAAAATTGGATTAGTCTTCTCACGTTAGTAAATTTATTTGATCTATTAATGTACTTAATTGATCGACGTTGATTAAAATGTATATTCATCATCATTTGTTGTCATTTGCTGCACTTTACATAGGAATTAATCTACTCTCGCGTGAACAAGATTAATGGTGAGTTCTCTTTGATCAGGTTAATCTTATTTCATCTAACATTTTTTCTATTGATTGGTTTATTATGATAGGATGATATATGATACTAAAATTAGTGGTCAAATACCCAATAGCTTTGGAACGCTTGTCGGTTTAAAGGAATTGTATCTTTCTTCAAACCACCTCAACGGGAGCATTCCATCTGAGTTGGGCAACTTGATTAATTTAGAATCCTTGTGCGTTAATTTCTCGTCAACCCAAATGATATACAAATTTTTAGTTCTGGCTTTACATTATATTGTCTGAAAACGCTAATTAGACATATTTTCTATAATTGATCATTTGTGACAGAAAGTTATCATTCAACAACCTCACAGGCAACATTCCGTCTACATTGGCCCAATTGCAGAATTTAGAAACCTTGTACGTGATTTTTATTTGTCAAGCTAACTACATTCACATGAAAAATTGTTAAAGATTATAAATTATTAATTTACACCTCAATTCTGGATGACCCCACGAGGATTTTATGTACATTGTCTCACTTTTTTATTTCTTACGACATGGTTTTTATTCATTTACTAATGATAATTCGAATGAGATATATAACTAGGTGCCCAATTATCCTAATTGTTTATGTACCTTTAATTTGCATGGATAGGTATCTAAGTTACAACACATTGAGTGGCGAAATACCTTCGACATTGACCACTCTCATATATTTTAATGTACTGTGAGTATTCGAGTTTGGATATATATAGTTTCTCTGAACAAGACGTATATAGCAATCATTTCGAGCTTCAAACATTGTTATGCAGGAATTTTTCAAACAACAACCTTACAGGACATGTTCCATGTAACTTTTCTCATACTTCTGGACAAATTTTGTAAGTTGATGCTTGCATTGGTGCGATGACTTAAATTAACCTAGCTCAATATTTTGATTTTGATATATCTAACTCAAATTATTTTCTCATTAATGCGCAGTTATAATAATAATCCGGGACTAAACACCACATGCTAGCTATTTTCCATGTCGCGTGATTGACCGGACTTGAGTTGCTGCTCAACCGATATGATGCGTGTTGTCTTCAATGTTTTTAAATGAAAATGATGCTCAAATAAGGCGACTTTCGTCAATATATGGTTCGCTGTGAAGCATCACCCTATGCAATATGTGATTTTTATCTGGCTAATATTTATGTCGCTTACAATGTCGTGTCCTTTTACATCAATAGGCTGAAACAGTTCTTATTTCGCTACATTTATACTTTAATATACATCTTTTGAATGAAACCTTGTTTTAGTTTGAGTTCCACGAAGCTTAAAAATGACAAATCATTCATCTGATAAGCACTTATTTATATTTATTCTCGGAAAGTCCTAATATGCTGTTTTAAAAAAGAAAAAAAAAAAACATGATTTAGTGGTTAATATATAACTATTTAACATTAGGCAATGTATAGAGCGATTGAGCGGTGTATGATAGTTTGTTCTGATAGAATTGGATTTAACTTTATTTGAAATAAATCTATTAATCCCAAGAGCATTTATATTAAATAATCGAGAATCAAAACCAGAGAGTGGAAGCGTACTTGATTGATTCGTGTTGATGTTGATTGATTTCTTTAGAACTCGAAATTATATTTGGGATTTGGTAATCTTCCAAAAGACCGTGATCCTTATTTTCTTCAATTTCTTTCTCTTTAATGTATGAAAGAAAGAAAACCTAGTGAAGAATTTGATGCCCCAACCCCAACTTTTATATTGATGAGCAATCAATTAATTCTCACCTAATTAGTCAACTTGATCAACTAATTTCCACCAATCAGCCAACCTGATTGATTTTCCCAACAATCAGCCAACTTCTCCATCCACTTGTGTACACTTAATGTGCACTTTGATTAAATGTGAATTTAAGAGGCAACATTTTTTATTCTTTATGGGTTATCCTAATGGCCATCACTTTATTTTCACGTCTTTTGGGTACTCCACCCATAAATAATTTTGACCTAAATTATATGTCATTTAGGTCATTTATTTTAATATTATTATTTGTTACGTCACCAAATAATAATATTAACGGGTGTCCATATTTAATTATTCCACAATCTAAATTAAGTTCTTTAGCCAATGTACAATAATTTGATCACTTAATTTGGCTAAACAATATAATAACCCAATGTATCAATTACACATATTTAAATCCAGTATATTTAAATCCAGAATAGATCTAACAGTCTCCCACTGGATTAAATATGTGTTCTTATAATACATTATACTTATGAGCTCAAAATATGGTCATTATTACAGAACTTGAATAATCTGGTCCATTAATCATAACAATATAGGACTAAAGAAGTTTCGCCGTATAGACACAACTAAACTATCAATAATCACATATATCACCATGATTAAATGACATAGATCAAACTGTGGAACATGTGGCATAAAAATTACATGAATGTGATCAGCACAGGTCAATGTTCAACTAGTCCAAACTTAATGAGATCGTTAAGTACCATAACATAATGAACAAAGTGTCATGAACCAAAAATTTATTTCTGATCAAAAAAGTACTTTATATATCATCAAATGAAAATGACAAAAATATGTAACAAATGCTCCCACTAGAATGAAGCTTCCTAAATATGTAACACACCCATATGAGCAGTATGCTCGTGAAATACCACAGGTGTTACACCTTTAGTTAGGAGATCTGCCAACATAGATTTTGTCCCTAAATGTTCGATGGAAATTTGACCACTTTGTACCCTCTCCTTCACAGCTAGGAACTTAATGTCAATATGTTTTGACTTAGACGAGCTCCTATTGTTGTTGGAGTACATAACGACCGATTTATTGTCACAAAAAAACTTGATAGGTCTTTCAACATCTGGAATAATTCGCAGCCTTGTGACAAAGTTCCTTAACCATATTCTCTGGTTTGATGCCTCAAAACACGCCACAAACTCAGCTTCCATAGTGGAAGTGGTGACAAGTGTTTGTTAGCACTATGCCAGGAAATGGCACCACCAGCCAACATAAATAAGTACCTAGACATAGATTTCTTATTGTCTTGGCACCCCGCAAAATCGGAGTCAGAATATCCAACGATCTCCAAATGGTCTGATCTCCTATATGTGATCATATAATCCTTAGTTCTCTTAAGATAACTCGTCACCCTTTTGACTGCTTTCCAGTGATCTAATCCAGGATTACTTAGGTATCTACCTAACACACCAACTATGTATGCAATATCCGGACGCATACATACTTGAGCATACATTAGGCTCCCAACAGCGATGCATAAGGGACCTTTTGCATTTCCTGGATTTCCAAATTTCTCTTTAGGCATTGACTTAGGCTAAATTCATCACCCTTAGCCACAGGGGTATTTCCTGATTTGCAGTTTTGCATGCCAAATCTTTCAAGCACTTTATCGATATAGCTCTTCTGTGATAACCGTAGAATACCTCGAGATTGCTCTCGGTGTATTTGGATTCCTAATACAAAAGAGGCTTCACCAAGATCTTTCATCTCGAAACTATTTCTTAGTTTCGTGCAACATGCACATATCGTTCATAGCAAGCAGAATGTCATCCACATACAAAATCAGAAAAATAAATTTACTCCCACTGAACTTGTGATAAACACAATCAGCAACAACATTCATCTCAAAACCATACGATATAATTATTTGATGAAATTTGTGATACCACTGTCGAGACGCTTGTTTGAGTCCATAGATGGATTTTCTTAATTTACAAACCATTTTCTTTGGGTCTTCGACCTCAAAGCTTTCTGGTTGTACCATGTAGATCGTCTGATATAACTCCAAATCAAAATGTGCCACTAGAGCCATGATTGTTCTAAAAGAGTCCTTCGAGGATACCGGAGAAAAGGTCTCTTTATAGTCAATCCCTTCCCTTTGAGTATATCCTTTAGCCACAAGACGTGCTTCATACCTCTCCACATTACCATTTGCATCCAGTTTGGTCTTAAAAATCCATTTGCAACCGACGGGTTTTGCACCTTCTGGCAATGGGACAAGTTCCCAAACCTTTTTTTCTTGCATTGACTTATACTCTTCACGCATCGCTTCCCAAACCTCTTATGTTTGAGGTAGTTCTTGAAGTCTTTCCAACCCGTCGGCAGCTTTTCAATCACAACTGCAACTTGGAATGACTCCCTCAGAGACATTCTTTCTACATGGATATCGTGCAAGATGAGTTGGAACTCTTGCACTTGAGACACAACAGGCTTAGTGTCAACCATTTTGAGTCAAGAAATTTGCCGACGACAAAGGCATCCTCGGTCTTGTACTTCTTCTCCAAAGCAGCCCAAAGTTCTTTGGCAGAACCAACCGAGCTGTACAGATTGTACAACTCGTTAATAAGTCCGTTCAGGACATAGTTACGGCAAAGGTAATCACCTTGCCCCCAAGCTTCGTACGCAGCTCGTAGTTCAGCATTGGTCTCATTTTCAGCAATAGCCAGAGGGTCGTCCTTCAGATATTTTACCAAACCCAAAGTTGTTTGGTAAAAATGCATTTTTTGTTGCCACATTTTGAAATCAAGTCCATTGAATTTTTCGGGCTTCTCAGCAGTATGGACATAGACAGCAGGTACGGGATGATGATTAATAGTGGTGTTGATTCGCTGCTGAGTGTTGGAACCATCTCCGGTGGATGCCATCAGTTCTGTCGGTCGAATATTCTTCTTGCGATTGTTAGAAATCGAATGTAAAAAATTACACGGGAATCCTACGAATTGATATGTATTTTTTAGTTCTTACAAATAATCTAAAATAGAAAATTACAATTGAACTGAAACAATAAATTACAACTGAAAAAACGGAAAGACTAAAGCCGATGCGAGTAAACTTTTTCCGCAAGAAGAATACACCCCGTGTGGCAGCTAATGGTTCAGGCGTAACTTCCCCAAAAATACAACGGCAAACATCTCTAAATCTGTAGCACACCAGATTTACGAGCTCCGACGAACTGGAACGTAGTCGAGAATTGAGCACTTAAAATAGGAATAAAATTATCTCTCTGATAATTTTTCTCTATCTTTATCACCAATATTTTTATCCCTCAAATATTCTTTTATACTGAATATTTTTTCTTTCTCTTCCTTTTCTTTCTTTTCCTTTCTTTTCTCTTCTCTCTATTTCTTTTTCTCAGCAAAATAACTGGCTATTTATAGAGATGCAATTGGGATCAAATTGCAATTAAATAATTGATACAATTAATTAAAAATGGCTGACAAAAACTGATTGACAAATGATTGGGTTGTGGTTGGAAAATGGTTGGCCTAACCATTAATAATTGGTTGAGTTGTTAACCAAATTAACATGGTGGTTGTCTTGGTTGTCCAACTTAATTATACACTCACAATTTTATAACAACCAATTCAAATTCAGAATTCCTTCTTATGTTACCACTTTTATCTGTGATTGCTGAGGATTGAAATAAGAAATATAGCCTCTGTAGCATTCAATAGAAAGGCACATCATGACCGATTATGTAGATTTCTTGTTACTAAAAAGGAAGAGAACTTCAAATTAAAATAGTTCAGCCTAAAGATATTCCAAAATTGCAGCATTGTTTGTCTTCTACCTACATGAGTCGTTTGACAGGTACATCTTTTCATTATCCTTACATGTAAAAAATATAGTGATCCAGTGTTTTTTTTTTTCTTTTTTCAGCTTCCACAAGATTCGAAACAGCAATTGTTGAGATTGCCAGTTGATCTAGCAGGAAAACTNATATCACCCCCAGTACGTACGGAGATATGCGGCCTTTCTCTGTTTGTGCAGGA